AAGCTTACGTGAGCTTGAAGCATAGCTTTGAAGGACGTTTTGGGGTCATTAACTAGGCTTTTCTGTTTAATATAAACAAGGCATCTCAAGTGTCTGTTGATATGGTGAACGGCTGCATTACCTTTGTTAGTGCAACTTCTACTAAAATAAAATTCTTCAGCTAAGCATTCAAAGTAGATGTCATGTTTCTGGCCATCATTACTTCCCTCTTGTGCTACTGCACTGCACTCACCGTAAAACTTCCTTTGCAAAACGTTTGGGAACTACAGCCAAACTAATCCAGAAAGCTATGGGCAGGTACAGTACAAGCAACCTAAGACTTCTTAGACAATTTGCTGTGACTATATCTTCTTATAACATAAAACGTCCTTCAACGCTGTGCTTGAAGCTCACATAAACTTTATCAAAAGCACCAAAGTTGTCCATACACAATTCAAAAGTTGTTCTACAAGACTGAAGTTAGAAATGTGAATTGTCCCATATAAATTTGCTGTGGTCCAGGATAGAACAGACACATTTGGAAGGAAGATGAAAGAGACCTTCTAGATTAATGTTCTGGTTGAGACCTACCTAGTATGTACCCTTTGATCTACCTAGCTAGCTAGCTAGCTTCTTGCAGGCATGTATTTGCAAATCATTTCATCATTCTGAGTCTGGGCAGCAAATTAAATCAACCATAAAACTAAATAATATGGTAAAACATACCGTATTTTTCGGAGTATAAAACACACCTTTTTCCCCCAAAAAGTGGGTGAAAATCTGGGTGCGTCTTATACTCCGAATGTAGCCCCACCCAGCTTCTCAAACAGAGGTTTCTGAGGCTGAAAAAAGCATCAGAAACGAAGCTTCAGAAAAGAAGCCCCCAAACAGAGCTTCAGAGGCTTTTTTTCTGAAGCTCTGTTTAGGAGGCTTTCAGGGGCAGGAAAAAAGGTTATTTGTGAAACAGAATTTCAGAAGTTTCAGAGGCAGAAAAAAAAGCAAGGCACAGAGCTCACAACCAAGGAACCTGTTGCTAAAATTCACCTCTGGGAACAGTTGATTAGGGTATTAGGGGAGGCCAATCCACTTGCCAATTAGCTTTTTTTTTCTTATTTTCCTCCCCAAAAACTAAGGTGCGTCTTATACTTCGAAAAATACGGTAATCTTTTCAAGTCATCCAAGATCAAAGGCATGCTTAAACAGGATGGTCTTCAAAACCTTGTGAAATTCAAGGAAGGTCAGGTCCAAATGTACATTGGGGAAGTAATGAGTAAAAGAATTGAAATGGAAATGGGCTGGTCACATAGCAAGAAGAACTGATGGCAGGTCAACCAAGGCAGTCATAGAAAGGATCCCTCTTGATAAAAAGGGTCCACCAAAGAGACTTGAACAAGATAGAGTGACGACATCAGCAAGTATTACAGACCCAAATGGCAAAAAAAAGCTCACGGCCATATCAGTTGGAAACATATGTAAGAGGCCTTCATTGTCCAGTGGATAGACAATGCCTAGAATGATGATGATGATTCCAAAATGTAAGGGCTATAACTATAGGTAGTCCTCGATTTATAATGGTTCACTGAGTGACCATTCAAAGCTACAACGGCATTGAAAAAATGACTTATGACCGTTTTTCACACTTACAACCATCGCAGCATCCCCATGATCACATGGTCAAAATTCAGACACTTGGCAACTGACTCATATTTGTGACTATTACAGTGTCCCGGGGTCGTGTGATCCCCTTTTGTGACCTTCTGACAAGCAAAGTCAATGGGAATGCCAGTTACACTTAGCAACTGTATGACTCACTTAACAACTGCAGTGATCACTTAGCAACTGTGACAAGAAAGTTCGTAAAAGGGGGCAAAATGCACTTAACAACTATCTTGCTTAGCAACAGAAATTTTGGCTCTATTGTGATTGTAAGATGAGGACTACCTGTGCAAAGATCTGCCCCCATGGTCCACACCATGGGGTGGGGCCTTCAGCAGACCTTCTTTAGACTTGTGGGTATGTTGATATGTTTTTGTTGTCTAATCTTAACATATTATTTTCAATTTAAAGGCCAGATTTTAGTTTTAAAAATTTAACAAAGTAATATATATTTAATAAAGTAATATATTCTAAAGGGAAGAGGACCAAAAAAATATCCCATACCACCTGAGGTATTTTTTACTGTTATTATGTTGTCACAACGGTCATATATCTTGTCAGAGTGAGCACAACTTTACTGCGTAAGACAACCCAGGAGCAATAACAGCAAACAGGTGTGTAATAAATAGTTGTTTTTATCTACAAAAAAATATACCATATTTTTCGGACTATAAGATGCACCGGTGTATAAGATGTACCAAGATTTTGAAGAGGTAAGCAAGAAAAATAAGATTTTGCCCTCCATGGCCCCAGGAGCACTCTACAGGCCTTCCAAACCTTCTGTGCGTCCAGTTTCCTGCAAAAACGGGTTGCACAGAGGGTTTGGGGGGCCTGCAGAGTGCTTCTGTGGGCCGGGGAGGGCAAAAGCATGACGCATGGGGGGTTTGGGAGACCAAAAAAGAGCCTATTTCTTGCAAAAACGGGAGCATTTTTTGCCCTCCCCAGCCCACAGGAGCACTCTGCAGGCTTCCCAAAGCCTCTGTGTGCCCTGTTTTTGTGAAAAACGGGCGCATTTTTCACAAAAATGGGACATGCAGGGCAGGGCTTTGGGAAGCCAAAAATTGCTGTATTCGGTATATAAGATGCACCAACATTTTCACCCTCTTTTAAGGGGGGGTGGAAAGTGTGTCTTATACTCCGAAAAGTACAGCACACTATATATACACGTACTATAGGCAGAAGTCAAACAATCAGTAAATTACAGCAGGGAAGAACACACGGCGAGAAAGTGACGCCCTAACAGGGCCTCTTATTATTATACAGGCTCTTAAAGGGATAACAGCTAAAAACCTTGCTGACTCATTCTCATCATTCCATCAGTGCATCATTGCATCATCATAACAGCTGGTCAGCTCTTAAATCACTACCTTGACATCTCTGTTTTAAAAAAAAACCCAAAAGGATAATATGGGTATCTTGGTTTTATATTGATAATGTAATTTTTTGCCCTAATCCCATGTGGTGATGGCTGGCTATGGTTATTAGTGGTTTTGCCAAAGTATTATTTCATATTATATGTAACTAATACTTGAAAGTGATGGTCCTTATTAAGCCCTATTTAATGTCCATATTAATTGGCAAACCCCTCCACATTTATACAGAGAATAAAGAAATACACTTGTTAACCCATAGCTGTTAAAAGCCAAAAATCTCACATGACTAAATCCTGAGGGAGAAATAGGATAACTTGGCCATATATATTCAGTGTGAAGATACTCCATTTGTTTTTAGAATTATCAGTTTTTTTGTATGCAGCAAGATTTATATTTTAGAATGCCAATAGACTGGCATTCAGAAGGATGAGGACGTTGTTAAGAATTAATTCAGAAATAGATCAGTCTAGGCAATTGTAATAGTAACTGTGAGAGGGTTCTTGGAGTCCTAGTGGGCAACCATTTAAATATGAGCCAGCAGTGTGCAGCAGCTGCCAAAAAAGCCAACACAGTTCTAGGCTGCATAATCAGAGAGATAGAATCAAGATCATGTGAAGTGTTAATACCACTTTATAATGCCTTGGTAAGGCCACACTTAGAATACTGCACCCAGTTTTGGTTGCCACGATGTAAAAAAGATGTTGAAACTCTAGAAAGAGTGCAGAAAAGAGCAACAAAGATGATTAGAGGACTGGAGGCTAAACCATATAAAGAACCATTGCTGGAATTGGATATGTCTAGTTTAATGAAAAGGAGGACTAGGGGAGACATGATAGCAGTGTTCCAATATCTGAGGGCTGCCACAAAGAGGGAGTCAAGCTATTCTTCAAAGCACCTGAGGGTAGAACAAGAAGCAATGGGTGAAAACTAATCAAGGAGAGAAGCAACTTAGAACTAAGGAGAAATTTCCTGACAGAACAATTAATCAGTGGAACAACTTGCCTCCAGAAGTTGTGAATGCTCCACACTGGAAGTTTTTAAGAAGATACTGGATAATCTTTTGTCTGAAGTGGTGTAGGGTTTCCTGCCTAAGCAGGGGGTTGGACTAGAAGACCTCCAAGGTCCCTTCCAACTCTGTTATTCTATTCTAATTCCTAAATCTTTTCATTCTAAATACAAGTTGCTAGAGAAATACTTCACAGTGGGACTGCTTTCCAAATATTCATATTGCCTAAGACCAAAGCTTGAGGCGGCCTAGTTAGAAATGGATAAAGTGAGCATCAAGTCCTTCTGCCACAATTTGTCAAATTTCGAACTGCCATAGTCCCGCAGCTGCCCCGAAGCGCTGCTTCTTTTCTACGTAGAAACAGCCAACAGACTGATATAAATCACTCCAGATTTTCCACCACAACAAGCTGATCTTCAATAGCCATGAGGCAGGAACTGAACCATGAAGCCATGCCTCCATAGCAAAGGTGCAGAGAACGTAGGAGGGCCCTTCTGTCCAGCAATGGCTCACATACATCTGCTGCTCACTTGAGATCACAATGAGCAACGAAGCATGAGCAAGCAAGCTGCTTGGACATTGACACAGAAGTGTTTTTTAACCTCCAGTTTTAACCTCCAGTTTTATATGTTGCAACTAATATCAACAGGTTGCTGGGTAGGAAAAATTGTTGGAAAAAATCTGCACGCAACTATTGTGTCACGTCCATAATTCAGACCAGTGAGATGATGCACAAACGGCCTCTTGTGCAGAGATACAATGTCATCCCTTTAAATATCCAAAGTGATAGATAGAAGTTGTCCTTTTCCCACAAAAATCAAGGGATATTTAAGTGAATTTCTTGAATTCATGCTTACTGAAAGAGTAGCCTTAGAAGGAAATTGGGCTGAAGCAAGGCCTAAAATCATCTAAAATTTGTCTAGCAGTAACATTCAAATTTAAATGGGTTTATGATTTACAAACACTCTAGTGAACACATAGCAAAAAGGAGTTAGTAAATTTATTTATTTACTTGTTTATTACATGTATATGACAATTTATATGCACACTTATCTTACATCTATTGTAATTTAGAGTACTATCGTACATTTGAGAATACTATTTCATACTTTCCAAAAAGAAAAAAAAAAGCATCAGTAAATGATGTTCAAGTCAACCATGAATCATCTTGCTGCATTTTTAGGTACTAACTGCATTCAGCTATTGAGCGAAAGTCATGATTCGGATGACAGGAAAGATGCAGCTGCTTTCAGGAGTTGTAGCCAAGTGCTGTGCTCAGATCGATGCACTGCCAAACACTTTGTGGAAACGGAATCTGAAGAACTACACAACTGTTTTATGCCTCTGCAGCAAAAGCATACCACCTAAGCCTACAGGATTTCATGCAACCCTTGAAAATATTCTGTGCAATCTTCTCCAGACAACAGAAACGATGACTGAACATTAATATTATGTGTAAAGTAAACAATATAAAATGTAGCTTTGTGTCCAATTTTGGATTATGTAGTGAAGATCCTGATGTCCTTGACCTAGAAGAAATGCAGTACTTGCCCAATAGGAAAGTACCTACTTTGTATCATTATTTCCATCACACTTCTTAGAACATTAAGAACTTCTTAATAAGATTCGGTTTCCTTCAGAAGGAAGTCACTGGAAACATATTTAATACATGTTTATTTTCAAATACATTAACTTAATTGGAGGCATACATAAACTTTCCAGGAGTCAAATGCAGATTAGAGTGAGTGGTAGTTCTGTTGGAGTACAGTTCCCATAATGTGTAGCCAACACCATAATGAAAAAATTGCATTCCAAAACATCTGCAGAAATCTGCTACTGCAGATGAGGGTGAAAGGGTCTGTTATAATCAATAAAAATGATAAAGGGACTTGATAGTCTCTGTAGCTGGTTTATTTATCCCATAAAATAATCAAAGCTGAGGCTTCCTCTTATGAAAGGAGACATAGCCCACTTGACAGATTTTGGCTGGCTCAGGAATTCTGGGAATTGAAGTCCACAAGTCCTAAAAGGGCCATTGTTCCCCACACCTGCTCTAAAGCTGTGTTTTTCAACCTCAGCAACTTTAAAAATTTGTAGACCAACTCCCAGAATTCTCCAGCCAGCAGGCCGGAAGTTGGAATCCAGACCTCTTAAGGACACTGAGATTGAGAAACACTGTCCTAAAATAAATATATATTAAACATATATACACTCTCCTTAGACACAGTGGCACGTACATACCATATTGTTCTTGGATTTGGAATAGATTTTTTTTCCCACTCTGCCTTGCTTCTTTTTACTATTTATTACTCTGACCATTCCCACCCACCCCCACATCTTTTTCTTTTCCATCCCACAGCAAAAATAATCCTTAATGTCATGGATTTGATTGAATTATCACTTTTCCATCCCCCTTCACTCTCCCTGAATTTGAAATGTAAAGATGTTGAAAATTCTGTACTTTTCCATCTTGGTATGGGGGGGTGGGGGTGGGGGGAGGTTTATGGCTTTGGTTCAGCAACAGCGACTGCAGAAGGAAACGTGTCTCTTGGATCCTCCTGGATCCCATAATATAAATCATCTTCTTCTGCCTCCTGCAAGACTCTACTACATTCCAGAGGACCACGGCCTACTATTCCCACAATGCCATCGCCTGCTGTAGGAGGAACAGAGCAATGGCTCTGGCTTGGGGCCACGGTATTTTCATTGCTTTGCCCCTGACCTTCCACCGCCAGGGAATCAATCAAGGCAAAATCTTCATAAGAAGGAAGCTTGAATTGGAGCTGGCTTTCTGTTAGAGACACAGGATTTGGGACATCTTTCCATCTCTGTAAAAATGGGCTGTTGGAAGTTGAGTCCAGGGAAGAAGTGTCCACTTCCTCTTGAAGAGATGCTAATGGTGCAGCCTTTGGAAACCTCTTAGATGGGCTGGAAGAAGAAGAAGAAGAAGAAGAAAAGGATTCAGTGAAGGGCATTCCTTCTAAGGCTGTTTGCCGAACTGTTTTGGGTTTCAACTGAGAAGTTTACAGTAAATGAAGCAATGTGTATGTTAAGCTTGTACCAGGTTATTAGTCCAGAATGACCAATTTCCTTGTTATGAATTTGGTTGCTAGGACTAGATTTTATTACTGACCAACCCAGTCTAACATCAGCATCTTGATAAAAGAATGGGAGGAGAACTAAACTGTACTAGGCAACATATTGGCTTTTAAAAGATGGAAACCAGACTGCTTCTATTTTATTCAACAACCCTTTTTATTTTTTTTAGAAATTTCATCTTTCCTTTAACTAGGATCAGAACATGATTCGGTAATTCATCAGTTTTATGCAATATAAATTAGCACTGCCAGATCTCAGCTACATAAATCTGGACAACCCCTACATTGTAATTAAAAAATTAAGGGTTTCTGTATCTCCTTGCTTCCAACTACGAGTCTTTTAGATTTTTGCAGTCCAAATCCTATTGCCCTAATATAAGCTAATTCAGGGACATTTCATATATGTTACTCACCAGTTCAGTCCTCTTGCATCTCTGTTAGGGCTCCCATTACTCTCTGAGTCCCTGTGTACCTCTGCTTTGGCATGTCCATAAGGCTGGAGATGTCTTCCTGTCCTGACTAGTGGTACTGGGACAGGCAAAGTTCCCAAGCATTCTGCAGAACTGTTTGTCTGGATCTGTTCATAAGTCGGCAGGCTTTTCTCATATATGTCAGCTTCTTTCTGGCTTGTGTATTGGGTTTGCAAACTGGACAAAGTAGGATAAAATTCATTTCTAGCCATCCATCCATCCATGAATTTATTTTCAAGACAGTTAATCCCTGGACATAAAGATGGACCTCACTCCTAATATTATTAACATGACTTTGATCTTTGGGAGATCCTGTGGAGAATATTGTCATCATGCATTGATGGTAATATTGAAATCATAATAATTTATTATTTTATTGTATTGTATTTTATCTCTCCACATGAAACTGACCAGACGGAACTGAAACTAACAAGAAGTGATGTATTGATTGAGACTGGACTACAAATAGGGCAAACAAGGTTTTATTCTACTGTCAGCCATAGAACTCACTGGTTGTCTTTAGCCAATTGTCTTTTGTAGGGCAACATAACACATTGGACCGTAGACACAAATCTGAGGAAAAAGTGCTAAATTGCTGGTTTAAGTTTGTGGAGGAAAAACACAATATCTAATCTAACAAACAAGGAAGGAAGAAAGGATGAACAGCTAAAATGAGCTGGGGCAATTAATTAGAGCATTGGCAACTGAACAAGAGGAAGATATAGGAGGAGGAGGTATCTTGTGCCCTTGAAGGACTGGTGTTTAAAAAAGGAATGATTATGTTTTCAAACTAACTGAGACATACAGGAAAGGAATAATGTGTTGAAACCACTATCACATTTTCCTCCTTCCACACTTATGAGGTATGTGCTTCCTGTTCCCTTTGTGGACAGAACAGGTTATCTGGACTTATCAGTGCTTACCAAGGAATTCTGGGAGTTGAAGTCCACAAGTCATAAAAGGGCCATCCTTCCCCACCTGGTCCACATAGCTCTTAAATCAGGGGACGCCCTCAAATGAACCATCGTCCTATGAAAATTTTGCTAAGAGGGGGCTGCTCCAAGTTCAGTAGGCTAGAGGGTCTCTCTCGTATCCTTGAGATATGCCCCTTTGCCAGTGGTGTGCTCAGGGGAGGGCCATAAAGCACATACCTCCTTTGTACAGATGTTGATTTCACACACTCAGAAAGGAATAGGATTTCAATAAAACATTTGTGAATTCTACTTGGACTTTTTTGCCTCTCTCCCTGAAGATGCCCTCTGGCCCTTCCCATTGAATGAAAAGTTGTTCCTTGAAGAAGATGCTGACCAGTTTGAATATTTTGAGTCAATATTTTGCAGTTCAGTACAGGCCACTTTTTCCCAGTTGGAATCCGAACCCTTGTTAATTCGGTAAACTGTGCTAGCACCAAGAATAAACCAAACTTAAACTGTGGTGCATCTTTGCGAGAAGTTAGAATGGCTGCACCAAAGGGAATACTGTTCTCTAGCTTATAACTCGGCATGCAACCATGTTTTATGAAAAGCTTTCTTTGTTAAGAGGCCTTAATTAAGAAAGACTGATGAATGACTTAAGACTAATTCACAGCAAATGACATTCAGATCTTAAATCAGGAAAACAATTCTTAGCAGAGTTCATAAAAATGAACCACATGGTCCTAGTTTCTGCCATCCTTTACAATCTTGAGGAATACCAATTTCAGAAAAGAGAATCTTCTGTATGACTTAGATGGAGAGTCCAAGTTTGATAGTTTTCTCTATGGGATTTATACTTTTCTATGGGATTTATCGTTTTCTCTTTGGGAATCTTCTCAATGGGTTATATAATCTTTCTTAGCTTTAACACATTACAGACACACGAAGGCAAAAGATCAATTGTTCTAACAGCAAGCACATTCTTTACTCACCTTAAATCCTGAACATTTACCAGGACTAGGTAAATACTAAGAAGAAGCTCAATGTTACAACCTCAAGATTACCCTTTAGTTTCTAGCAGGTGGAAATCTAATGTAATTTCATGAGTTTCTTTTAAATGAGTAATAGTTTTCAAGATGCCCTTCATTTTTTTCTTACAGATGGTAATGGTGAGTTTAATTTAAAAAAAAAACACATCAACAGATATATTTGATGCCATTTGCTATCTCATGCCAGTGTTTCTCATCCTTGACCTTGTCCTCCTGAGTAGGGGTCTCCAACCTTGGCCAAGCTGGCTGAGGAACTCTGGGAGTTGAAGTCCACAAGAAGGTTGGAGACCCCTGCTCCAGAGGAACATAGCCTCTAGCATCTACTGGCTAGTACTCTAATTAAAATGTAGATTGCAGACTATTGAGTTGAAGCCTGGTGGCTTGACGTCTTCATAAGCATACCTTTTCTTCTCAGGAATCTTATTTTCAATTGATGATGAGGCAGCCAACTTCTTCACAAGGAACTTTTCAGATTCTGGGTTCTTTACAAAAAACTTTTCAGTCTCTGAGTCAATGGAAACAACTCTGATCTAGAGGAAAAGTTAGAAAAAAATGGCTCTATTGATCCATTTGTGTTTTGTGTAAAGTATGCAAACAGCAGTATAGTTTCACTAGGTATCATTTCAACAAGCCTTAGAAGTTTGCATTGTTGAGTACGTGTAAAGGACTATACAACTGCAGAAATCCAATTCAATCTCCTATTATACATTCTCCTACCCAGCTTCTCTTTAGTTATATATTACATTATTACCTCACTTTCTTTCTAGGGAGGCAATAATGTAATAAGCAAATAATGTAATAAGCAACATGATATCCACAATAATATAATTGTGTCCATAATAATGTAATTGTTCCCACAATAATGCCATTCGCAGTATGGTGTCCATGAAACAAATGTTGCCCTAGGCACCTTCCTTGGTGCCAATCTTGTTTACCCTCCCACCTAATTTTTAAAAAATAATTGTTTATTTTAATAAAAAAAAATATTAACAGGAAGTTGGAGTGTACCAGTCTCTAATACATTTCTTTGTAAGAATGCTTTTGGTACCCACCAGGTCTGAATGATCCTGTTCCCACAACATCCTTAATTGAGCTAATGGAAAGTAACATTGTTGGAACACCATAAATGAATTAACTGACCTAATCAAATAACTTGCAGGCAGTTAAATTTTATCCCAGTCATTCAAAGGATTAAATTAACTCCATCCAACCAGTTGTATAATACTTAAATAAATACTTAAACCCATTGTGAATTTCTTCCCAACTAAAAGAGTTAGGGAGAAAAAACAGCTGAGAAACAAACAGAAGTTTGTGATAGAATTCAGAAAATAGAAACCTGGTACCACATAACCATGCTAACCTGCTCCTCCTGCTACCTATCTAGTGTCTGGCCAATGAAGAAGTAGGCTAATTATGTTCATGTAGCGATGTCAAAAGTCTCCTGATCCAAGGTTTATGGGATGTCAAGTTCTTCCTGGAGAAAGGAGATGATGTCACCCCATATAACCATTATACTGCGTTAGGATTCCTACTTTTGCTCCATGTGTACCTGCCCTGTCTGAGAGTAAAGATATAAGTAAAAACAAGGGTTGCAGGAAGTTCTCCATCTAGTTTGAGTTCAAAGAAAAATAGCAAGTCAAGGGTCAGAAATGATGTTACGGAAGTTCCCATCACTACCAGCCATTGGCCATAAAAGAGTTTTAATTGGTTTGTATTTGTCAACCCTTCCTTCCTTCCTTCCTTCCTTCCTTCCTTCCTTCCTTCCTTCCTCAGTTTCAATCAAATTAACAGATTCACACATGTACAACACACATTTCATTGGCAAAATCAATATTACGCAGAGTTTCAGTTTCAATAATAGTTAATTAGATAGCCTATCCTGAACAATTCTCTACACCTAAACCCTAGCTATCGTTTCAGTTGTGTAAAGGTTAAACACAGTCTGTGGAGAGTCTCAGTCATCCAAGTCCCAAAGGGGCTTTTCAAGAGGCAACTGAACTTTCTTGTTTTTCTTTGAAGACATTTCACTTCTCATCGAAGAAGCTTTTTCAGATCCGAGCTGAAGAAGCTTCTCGGATGAGAAGAAAAGTGTCTTCAAAGGAAACAAGAAAGTCCAGTTGCCTCTTGAAAAAGCACCTTTGGGACAACTTTGTGAAATGACAGGCTGAAAATGCAACATGTATAGAGTTTTTGTTATTGTTGTTAAGCTAATACATCCAGAAACATGTCTTCAGTTTAATTCTAGATATCCAGGCAATAGATTTAAGTTATCACTCTAACATTGTTTTGAAAGAGAGGGAGGGAGGGAGGGAGAAAAAGAAAGGAAAGAAAGAGAGAAAGAAGGCAAGGAAGGAAGGAAGGAAGGAGAAGGAAGGAAGGAAGGAAGGAAGGAAGGAAGGAAGGAAGGAAGGAAGGGGAAAGAAAGAAAGAAAGAAAGAAAGAAAGAAAAGAAAAGAAAGAAAGAAAGAAAGAAAGAAAGGAAGGAAGGAAGGAAAGAAAGAGAAAGGTGTTAACTATTGTTTTAGGCATTTTTTTTAAAAAAACATGCTGCCTACCTTTGGATAGCACTGGCACATGCTCCAGATGATGCCCACAGCAATGACCAAGACTCCCAGGGTGCAGAAGGTGATATAGATTTGTGGTTTCTCCACACTCATTATGAACATGCCAATCATGACCAGAAAGAATCCCAGGACAATAAGTCCATAGCGAAATGTTTTTTCTTCAGCCATTGTAACCTCTACCCTTCGGAAAGCAAAATTGACATCAAACTAATCTAATGTAGACAGGCTTATTCATAAAAGGAGGTTGAACTGGAATCGGGAGAGAGGGAGGAAGGAAGGGAGGGAGGGAGGGAGGGAGGGAGGAAGGAAGGAAGGAAGGAAGGAAGGAAGGAAGGAAGGAAGGAAGGAAGGAAGGAAATCCAGGGTAGCCCTTCACCTGTCCCTGACCCAAACAATCCACAGGTACCTCTTCCAGAGGCAGCAAGGGGACAAGTGTCAGCTCCACCTTCAGACTAGTCCTGCCCTGATCTCAGCCAGCCAGTTTTAAATGGGTTTGTAATGAATGCAAACAAGATCTTTAAATTCACATTTGAGTAACTCTGCCTGGGGGGAGCTTTACTATAACCTTCCTCCTAGCTACAGACAGTGCAAAAGCTGCCAATGATTTGCCAAGGGTGTGTGGAGAGGAAGTTAGAGCTTCTAGGCTCCAATCAGAGTCAAAGCTAAGGGTCTGACTGGTGAATGGTGAATTAGGGAGGAGGTAGACAGCCAAGGGAGTACTATTTGCACCATACTTCAATACTTTACTCTCAAATTAAAATATAGCTTCTCTCAAGTAATATGTGTGTGTATGTAATTAACCTGGTTTATTTATTGAAAACATTTCTTAAACATCCTTTGTCCAGGGATTATAGCAAATGCAGCATGGTATATAAAATTCACAGAAACAACATATAAAATGTGTATCAAAATATAAAATACCAAAGTAGTGAATAATTTTAAAATATAACACGAGTTATGAGTAAAATTATGAATAAAATTAAATTATGTATGAGCAGTTACTCCAGTGACTAATATACAAAAATATGAATAAAACCATTGGTGCAAACTAATAATGAAGTATTCTGGAAAATTTTCAAGCTTTGAAAAATGAAGTTGTCATATTAAGAAAGGCAAATGACAAGAAAGTTTTATGAATTATTTACTTTCTTAATTAGTGAGAAGAGTCATATTTTGATGGGAATCCTCAGCTATAGCCATGTTCTTTTCCCAGTGGGGAAAAATACTCAACTGAACTGCACTACATCAATGTGAATAAATATGATTGATGTGTTTACTATATTTATAATCATCCCTCAGTTTCCACATTCCTTCATTAGATTTATTTTTAAAAACTCCAGTCTCAATAGTTACAATCTAAATTGTAATCCAAGAGTGTATTTTCCCATTATTCCAATCACACTTAGTCTTCTGGGTTTACTCTTAATTCATCTAAAGATTTTCCATACTTAATCTTTTTTCAGAAGACTCTTCAAACATTTCATCCTGAATCTAATACAAATTGTGGTTACACTGGCAGTATAACCTGGCAATATATATATATTAATGTACTAATCAAGCTTGTGGGTTACAGCAAGTATCCTTTTTTTCTTGTCTTCTTTCTTTCTTTCTTCTAATGGATAACAATATTTCAATTACAGCACTTTATTTTCTTCCCTATCACAGCAGTCCTTAAAAGCATTTCAGATTTACAGTATAGACACAAATATTTTGGGAGTAGGTTGCCATCTAGTGGGGCTTTCAATTTGCAAATAGAAAAGTTACTCACTGTAAATTTGCTTGTTGGTGCTTGATTTTGATGTCAGTTTGTTTCTCTATGAAGAAAGGGGGATTAAGGACTCTAAATATTCTTCCCCAGACCTGTTTTATTCTCATTTTTCTTGCTTTTTGCATAGACCCTAACCCTAATCCAGCAGTCAAATTTGACCAAACCTGGATCTATCTCGGTTTACTAGTCAAAATTTGGTACCTGGAATGGTGGCTTTAATTGTTACCTTGTCCCCAGTGGAAATATTTTTTTCTCAAACAAGAAGAGCTTGAATCTCTATTTCTTGAGAGATAGTCAGCATCTAAAGGAGATTGAACTCCAAAGAGAAGCCATGGAGATCCTAATGAATATTCATTGGATTTAGTCCTGTCCTGACTAGCTATCCCATTCATGAGAAGGATCCTTCTATTTATCAAAGATGCTGGGATACAATAAAAATTCCATGTTGGAAGAATCAGGCTGGCAATCATCATTTATACCTTTTTCTACTACCTATCCTGAAGCACCTCTGCTATATGCATGTGAATTTTCCTGAATGCATGTGAATATTCCTGAAAGCAGAACCTGACCTGAGTACAGGTAGTCCTCAACTTACAACAGTTCATTTAGTGACCATTCGAAGTTACAATGGCACTTTAAAAAGTGACTTATGGCCATTTTTCACACTTACAATGGTTGCAGCATCCCAAGGTCATATGATCAAGGGGCTGGTGGCTCAGCAGACTAAAAGCATTGTGATTAACACCAGCTGTTTACAATTACTGTAAGTTCGAATCTCACCAGGCTCAAGGTTGACTCAGCCTTCCATCCTTTCTAAGGTAGGTAAAATGAGGATCCAGTTTGTGGGGGCAATAGGCTGACTTTGTATAAATATACAAAAGTATGAAGGCTATTGCTTAACGCATTGTAAGTCACCCTGAGTCTCCGGACAAGGGCGGCATATAAATCAAATTAAAATAAAATAAAAAAATCAAAATTCAGAGGCTTGGCAACTGGTTCATATCTATGACAGTTGCAATGTCCCAGTGTCACGTGATCCCCTTTTGTGACTTTCTTACAAAGTCAATGGGGAAGCAATCATGTTACATCTGCAGTGATTCACTTAACAACTGTTGTGGTCCACCAGCAGCCTGCGGAGCCTGCAACGGAGTCGGACAGTGAGGAGGCTGAGGAAGAACATGGGCCAGGCCTGGAGGCTGGGGAAGGCCCGGATGAGGGCTCTGCGTCGGAGGCAGAGATGGGGCCAGGGCCATCAGGGAGTGATGTGCGGACTCCGGAGCCTCCAGAGGCTGACAGTAGAGAGGCAGAGGAACAGGAGGAGCCTATTACTAGTGCACGTATGAGAAGAGCTGCCAGAAGGCAAGAGCAGCTAAAGCAAAGAGGACGACTCGGGAGTAGGGCCAAGAGATGATTGGCCCCTCCCATAAGGCTTAAAAGACCAGCAACGGCTCTTGGGCTCTTTGTCAGAAAACAACACTGATAGACTTGTTGTTGTCTTGCTGCACTTATCTCTTGTCAGCGTCTTCTGCTTCTGAACTTTTGCCAAGAGAAGCCTTTGCCAGTTTGCCTAATTATACCAAGGTTGGTGATTAGACTGAAGAATCTGTGTTATGAAGAATTTGTTTTGATTTAGTTTGGACTACGCTGAGAATGAGTTAATTCTCAGCTGTTCTAATAAAGCCTGTTTGTTTTGGAGCTGTTTGCGTTGACTACTACCTACTTGGGCCTGGGTCACAACAACAACTGTGAAAAGAAGGGTCGTAAAATGGGGCAAAATTCACTTAACAAATGTTTCACTTAGCAACAGAAATGTTGGACTCAGTTGTGGTCGTAAATTGACGGCTACCTGTCATAATTAATGAAATGGTTTATAGAGTCAGTTAGCATCTAGGTGACTCTATTCTATCAGGCAAAGAATCAAAGACCACATGCTTTGTGTACATGTGCATGAGAAATAAAATAGAAGAAAGCTCAAATTAAAACTCTTAGACTAGAACCATGATGGAAAACCTATGGCATGCGTGCCACAGGTGGCACACTGAGCCATATCAGTGGGCACGCAAGCATTGCCCTAGCTTAGCTATGACGCGCATGCGTGAGCCAGCAAATTGATTTTTGGGCCTTCTGGGCCCACCGGAAGTCGAGAAATGGGCCGTTTCCTGTCTCCAGAGGGCCTCCATGGGGAGGAGGAAGGCCGTTTTTGCCCTCCCCAGGCTCCAAGAAAGCCTCTGGAGCCTGGGGAGGGCAAAAAACAGGCCTACGGGCCTACCGTGCCATCATGTGCCAAAAGCAGGGGGAGCACAGGGGGGGTCACATGCGTATGCAGGGGAGCAGGGCGCATTGAATTATGGATGTGGGCACACGCACGCGTGACCCACCCTTGCTCCGCCCGCTTTTGGCACACGATGGCAAAAAGTTAGCCATCACTGGACTAGAAGAAGGCTGAATTATAGACCAAGAGGGAACCCACAGTGAATCCTTAACTTTCTATGTACAATCTACTGTCCCATTATGGTCAGTGGATTATGAATTGCTGAGGAATCCATGCCATTGGACTTGGACTTCTTATATCCAGAAGGATGCCCAACCTTTCGAAGCAGCTTTTGAAGAGCCACAAGGAGTTTCAGGAAAAAGGAGAACCAAAAATATTATTCTCCCGCATGCTTCCTGTAGCATAACAATGAACAACCCATTAATTGTCCCCCTTTATCCATTCCCCTGACAGTATTCCATCAAAATTGGATAATAATGTGGTCAAATTTTAGTTGTGTGGTTATGGGACATCTATCAGGTTTTGAGGAGGATTTTAAGAAGGGCTGTGGGAATGCCAGGTGAACCAATTAAAGAGGCAAATCAAATTAACCAAGCACTAGTTTGGTTTCTAGTGTAATGAAAAGAAGGACTGGGGGGTGACATGATAGCAGTGTTCCAATATCTAAGGGGCTGCCACAAGGAAGAGGGGGGTCAACCTATTCTCCAAAACACCTGAAGGCAGGACAAGAAGCAATGGATGGAAACTAATCAAGGAGAGAAGCAACCTAGAACTAAGGAGAAATTTCCTGACAGAACAATTAATCAGTGGAATGAATTCCCTCCAGAAGTTGTGGGAGCTCCAACACTGGAGTTTTTTAAGAAGAGATTGGACAACCATTTGTCTGAAATGGTTTCCTGCCTGAGCACTAGGTTGGACTACAAGACTTCCAAGGTCCCTTCCAAATCTCTGTTGTTGTTGTTGTTTTTGTTACTACTTCAGAGCCCATGGTTCTTGAAGTGCCATATCCTGACTAAGATTCTGTGCAGCCACTTCAATGGCTTCTCCACTTTGTCTAAATATATGTATACATGCATAGATGATAGCGGATGTCGTCACCTGGCAAAGTGACAGTTCAAACGGCTTGGCCAGCCTTCGTATAGGATGGCTGGACTCCAATGCTCCACTTTGCTGCTGCTGATCCTGACCGCTACTTTTACTAATATAATTAAAGAATGCGCCACTTTCACTCAAGGCAAATTAGGAGGCTCAGATTTGACAGAACAAAACGGATTCAGAAGTTGTGAATTGATAGGAACTAACCTAACATTTAAACTCTTCTGAGCTCATTTAGGATCTAGCTATTGATCCTATCAGGTTTTCAAGAACTGTCCACATTTGTGAGATTCCTTTCATGAGGAGATAAGATCCTTTCAAGATTCATATACTTCAGCATTTCTTTGGCTACAATGGTGAATTAGATACATCCACTAAGCTTGCAATTAGGCTCTTTCACAATTGCAATCAGGTTCTAATATACATGGTTACAAAAACAAATTAGCTTAAAAAACAAATAATCCCTATATCCAT